CGATGTGTATTGTAGAGATTGAGGGCGAGTGAGAGACGCGCAATCGATGTGTTTTGTGCCCTCCAGCTCTCCCATAGTCTCTACTCCCCCTGCCGCTGCAAACGCTAGCAAAACGCTGGTGAAACGCTGGAGAATCGATCGATATCTATCCTTTCCCCGACACTGCAGCTGGCGTACGCTGGAAGCGCTACGCTACGCTGCCGCGAAGTATAAACGCAGCCTTATGAATGGCGCGTTGCAGGCCATCTGGCTCTGAATATCTTCGCACTGCGTGCGGGGCGGGGGCTTCAACGCTATCTCACTACGTGCCAGGTGAGGTACTTTTTCCACTTATTTGTTGTTCTCGATGCATGGTTGACAAACTTCGTTAGCTGTTCATACTCCACATTACAATCAGAAAGGAGCTTACAAGGGAGGTCGTTCAGGGCGTGCGTGTGTGAGGGCAGTAGATCATGGAGAGCCCCCGGGAAGCGCCCGTGATCTTGGCGGGAATAGGAGTATATAAGAGTTTGGGATGCGTGGAATAGATGCCTCCATTTTTCGATCGTTTTTGACCCGGCGAAGTCGCGGTGCTCCCTTACCTTATTTTGAACCTTACCTAAGGTTCACTTCAATGTTCGCTTGACTATGTTCATTTATATTGGTTGCCGTATTTTTCAGTAACAGTAATTCGTTTAATAAATTTGTTTTTCAGTGACGCGGTGTCTTTGTTGTACTCGCAAGAACTGTCACTTCGGTTCATACTTGATTCGAATCACGCGGAATCATCGGTACATGGGTGGCGCGAACGGTCAAGTCGAATCGATTGTGACTGGTCTGCGTGTATCATAGACGGACAGAGAACGGTCAAGGACCTGCATAAGCCGAATTAGAGCAATCAGCGGCGGGGGAAAATTTGAGAATCGTCGCAACAAGTGACAGGAAAGAGGCGACCCCCAGCTTCAGATTGATAGAAGATGTTCGATAGTGAACAGTCAGGAGTCAAGAACAGGGACGCGAAGTAGCCGTCCTAGGGGCTGTGTAGAGGCAGGGAATCAAGCAGGGAACTCGCCGAGAACTTTATGGAGCGAAAGGTGATCTTCTTTGGTTGGCTAGGGCCAAGAGATGGGTACCCCAAGACGGGCAGCGGACGCAGAGTTAGCCGTCCAGGGATGAGGAAGCCTTTACAAAGAGTGAGTGTAGGCGGTATCTTTGTTTTGTGGTGTTTTATGCGTTGTTATCGATCGATATCTTCGCCGATAAACTCAGGGTCTGATATTGACATTCGTGATATGATCGAAATAACATTGCGTATTTGCAGAATGGACTGAGAAGATGGAGAACCGCGCGCGAGGCGAGGTTAATGAGGAAGCGGTCCGCCTCAGGTTCAGGTGATCAAATGATTTGAGGTTAATTTCGGTTAACAAGAATTGAGGTGGATAAGGTGGGAGGGGAGGAGATGAGGTTAAGCAGTTACCGTTACGGGGTGAAGAGGAGCTATCGGAGGCACGTATAGCTCTGGGAAGTATAGAACCAGTTGATGGAAATTTTGATACAGCCAATACTAGCGGGCGTGTACCAATATTGGAGGACATAAAGAGCGAGCTGTTGGTGAGGCATTGAGATGTTTGGGCAAGGACATGTTGCAGACGCATACAGGATAAGGGGATAGAAAGTATGGAGGATGCTGAATGAGTTATTAGTGTGACAGAAAGGGGACTGGCTGAATTACTAGCAGTGATATGTGACATGTTTCAAGACGGAGTTGTGGCACATACGTGGAGTGACTGAGCGAAATCAGGCTTCGAGGCAGGAAATTCGAAGCAAGCAATGAGCTCGAATGGAGATGAAAGAAAAGTCATAGACACGAGCACGATGAAGGTCGGTCAATGAGATAGGAGTAACAGGATAAGCTCTTTAATCAACAGAGACTATTGCTTCAGATTCTGCCACTGGGAGAAGTCGGACGTCACGATTGGAGCAGCTTACGCGCGAGCCTCGAAGGCAGCATTCGGAGATATCGGGCGACAAAGCGGCACATCAAGGTCAGGATGCTTGAAACTTATATGGGCTAATTCAAGCAATGCATGACATAAGCCCTGGGATATGCAAGGGATTAAGGGCGGACATTTTTGAAGAGTTTATAAACGATTTAAACGAAAGTATTAGGACTGTCATTCTTGAATGATCAGACTCTACTGGGGACATTATGGTTTGCCGATCATCGAGGCAGGGCCAAGCGTTTTTTTTCAATACCTAGGAATGTAAAGGCCGAACAAAGTTTCGAGACAGTAGTGGAAGAAGAATAAGAAGTTATTTTGATGCGCATTTTCGAAAACGGTTTTTGCATATTGTGGAGGCTCATTGCAAGGGACCCAAAAAGTGTGCTTCATTTTCGCTTGCGCGCTTCCAGGAAAGAGTAAAAACGAGCGTGAAAAGAAATCTGTGGAATCTGCTTCGTTCTGGGCCTCTATGCGGCGTAGGTCACTTGCAACTTTTGACCAGTTGCTGAGTGGGGGTCCTTATAAAGGGGCCGCTTGAATCGAAGAAAAAATCGGCGTAAGTGAGCTCCCAACTTGTGCTCAGGGTGAAGGGCTTCTTTGCAATGTTCCATCAACGATTAAGAGCGCTAGCATAGTCGAGCATCGGATGGTTAGTGGAGAAGGTTTCGCCATCGACAGGGGAGGGTAGGTCGATGGTTCGGTTCCGCCCCTGCGTCGTGGCCTTTTGCATTTATTTAGATTTCGCTGTCTCGCTTCGGCATTTGGTGTCTACGCATGAATATAAACTACGGATATTTGCCATTTATGGGCACAATGTTCTGAGCTAGCACTAACTCGATGAGTCAGTGCTATTCAACTATTTCGATTTTCACGCACCATGTTGCTGGACGTTGTTCCTCATAGGCTATACAGTGGATCTGATTGCGAATTTAGTAACTTCTAGTGTGGTGTCAGGTATACAATTTGGGGCCACATCTTCTTTCCACTGATTCGTTATGTACACCAAGATAGGGAACGTTCACCGTTATTCTGTCGCCAAATTGTGTGGATGCCAAGAATAGGTGTTGTATTTGTGATCAGGGCCACTGATTACCACTAAAAACTAATTTTCTCTCAAAAAAATTGTTTTACCTTCTTGGGTTTGCTTATTGGATTGTCCGGGGTCCGTAGCGTCAACGCTACGTCATCGCTGTCAACTCCGATCACACTGCCGACCAAATGGTCGGCCACCTACAACCCGAAAAAGTCAAAAAAATTTTTCGCTCAAAACTTGCTCCTAGGGGTAATCGCCAGTCCTGATCACGAAGACTTTATTTTCGGTTCCAGTGCCATCTGGCACCGGCATAGTGCCGAAGAGCTGAGTCTGTGCATACTAACGAATTCGAACGAAAAAGCAGTTTTGCTCCATAAAAGTAGGATTGTTCAGTTCATCGTGGATGTATTTATTAGGACCAATTATAGGCAAACATGGATACAAAAAATGAAAACTGTAGAAAAGCAAAATTTTGTCCTCGGTGGGATCCGAACCATCGACCTATTTTTACGTTTTTTTATTCGTAAAAGCGCGCAGCGAAAACGAACCTCAGTTTTCTGGTCCTCGTATGGGCCCCTACAATATGCACAAGACCATTTTGAAAAAGCTCACCACGCCCTGAATGACCTCCCTTGTTAGCGAAGTGGCTCGAGATGGTTCTCTTTAGGGAACTTTTCGCTCATTTTATGGCATTACCAGGAATGAAAAGAAAATTGATCCATTCTTGTGATCATTATATGGACCCCTCCAACATGCAACAAATCATTTCTCAAAAGCGTTTCGCACCACTTCTCACCCCTCTCCTGTCAATATCAATATTAGAGGCTCACTGTGCGAAACTTTCCTTCTACCCATCAACTTCCTGTGCAATATGTGATGATGTCGGTCGACGGGGGATAGAGGAGGGAGGAGGAGGTATATTGCGAAACGGCCGAAATTCAAGAGCTGAAAATCAAATAGTGGGAGTCGCAGTCAGCCCAAAAGAAGGAAGACCCCGCAGAGTCCCAGCTGAAGTGGTGAAGGTATCGTATTGGTGACAGTACAGTGCAGTTCTCAGCGGACGGTGGGGCGGTCCTAAGGCCACGCTGGCGAGCGGCCCGATACTTGGCTGTCGGTGGATGGCCGCAAAAACCTTGCCTCTGCGTCTCTTACTCTGCACTCTGCGCTCTAACACACGCCTCCGCACCATCTAACGTCTCTTCCGCTCTAGGCTCTTACCGATCGATAATTGCTCTCCATCAGCTGATTCCTGCCGTATTTCGCAGTATTTTTACGAGATTCAGCTTGTTAAAGCTGAAATTTTTCGACTTTTGACTTCAATGTTCAGAGGTGAGTATTTTTACTGAAATTATATCACATTTTGCATGAATTTAGCATTAAAATGGGAAAGAAAAAAAAATTGAAATTGGGAATTTCAGCATGGGGAAACGAACCATTAGGGCAACTTCGAGCTTCAAAAAAGTGTCAGAGATGGTTCTCGATAATAGCGAGATCATCTGAGACACTGCTTTGAAAACTCGGCCAATATCATAAATTAATAATAAGGGATATTTAGGAAAAGTTTGGAGAAATTGCGAAAATCAGAAAGAAAACAAGTTTCTTAGGGGAATTTCATACTTAAATTCATGCAAATGTGGAATAATTTTAGCAAGAATACTCACCTTCGAATATTGAGGTCAAATCGAAAAATTTCAGCTTTAACAAGCTGAATCTAGCAAAAATACTGCGAAAATGCGGCAGGAATCAGCTGGTCGAGAGCGTCAGCAATTATCGATCGGTAAGAGTCCAGAGCGGAAGAGTGGGTAGACGGTGCCGCGGCGTGTGTTAGAGCGCAGAGTGCAGAGTAAGAGACGGAGAGGCAATCTCCTGAAAGTTTTCGGTTTCCCATCGACACGCAATAACAGGAACGCTCGCCAGCGTGGTCGTAGGGAGCGCCCCACCGTCCGGTGAGCGCTCAACTGTAAGCTCTACTGAAGGTTCATCGTGTGGCGCGTGTTGTGTTGGAAATAGCACTATGATGTTATTGGTCGAAAAGCATTGACCATGTGCATATATAAAAGAAATCAAATATTAAATAGTATGGGATTAAATAGTTCAGTAAAACAAAAAGCATCCGAAAAAACACGAAACACGCGTAGCAAAGCCGCGCTCGCCCGGCGAAGCCTGGCCGTATCGCAGAAAGAGGCGCGCTGGCAAAGCAGCAGTTCGCCCAAAAGTCCAGCTATGGGAAAGCGTGTGAAAGGGTTTGGAAAAACCACGATCTTCACATCGCCGCGTTATTGTTTTCATCAGTTGAGGTTGTCTCGAGCAGACGACAACTGAAGCAAGAGCCTGCCATGACTGCGCGCCAATCCACCCTCTTTCACACGTTCTATCCACGGCAAAGATCAATGACTGTACAATCCACAAAAGTTGGCAGAAACAATTCATTCTGTGCGTAAGGTGAGTAGACAGATACACAACAGCAGGGGTTCCGCCACTTACGGTCTAAAAGCGCGCGGAGTGAGTGCCATTGCCTTCATATTTGCACCTGTCAGATCAAAAGTAATCCCTGGTCCTTGATTGGGTTGTGATGGTTTCACAGAATTAAATTTATAAGGACTGCGCGCAAGGTTTTAGAGCTCACTCGTCCTCTATGCATCCTGCTACCTGGCTTTCTGTGTTGCCACTCTCCTGGATCGAAACCAACCAATGCTATCTATTCCAGAGTGGGAGTGGGTAAGACTGTTAGGCTCATATTTATGGCCCAAAAGCCCAAAAGTTTCAGAAGCCGCTGAAGTTGCCGATGGGTTTTGAATACCTCGGTCTCCACCATCTTCTTTGGCGATGTGATTTTGCCTGCTACTGCGGCATAGCTGCCCTCATGGGTATCTCTCTCGGTTTGAAGAACTGAGATTCTAGGCAGCTGACCCAGCGAATAATGTTTACTTTCTACAGATTCTGAACGTGCTAATGCTTTTCATTATCCATCAGAAAAAAATATTTTGTTCAGTCATTGGAAAGGAGTGTTGGTCATTTGCTCAGCACCCTGGAGACGCAGCAGAGAGCAACCAGTCCTACAAGTGCAGCTCTAGGCTGCACTTGACTGATGCTTACCAAGCTCCTCAGTCACTGGGGAGATGATCACACGCTGCTTCACAGGTGAGTGTTCCTTATTCGTACACTTTGCGAGTTCTACTTCTTCTGACATACTTTGCATGAAATGAACTGGCGATGAGAGCTGAATTTTTCACGTAAACCTGTGCACATACCTACGCAGGATTCCTCAAGGAGAAAAGCAGTCCACTAATCTACAGACATTTTCCAGCAGTGTATGGAAAAAGGTTTCGCGATTTCGCTGACGGAAGGACAAAAAGATGCTGCTGGATAATGATATAGCAGCGCCGACGGATGTCCACACTGATGAACTTTAGAAAATGGTCGACGCTTACGTGCATGAAGCTCACTATCTTCCTACTCCGCAACAATGCACGCACGCACGTGGTAAAGACGACAAGCTTAGCGACCACGAATTTTGACGGAGTTGCTCCAATCTCACGGAGAGGAATTATGAGCAGCATTTTGTGGTCAAGATGGGTAACAACTGGTTTTTTTTCTGCAGAAAAATAATACCCGAAGACCGCTGTTTTCAAGAACTGCCCCTATGTTACTAGTGAGGTGACATCGCTACATTCAAAAAGTGTGCACTGACAGCCCCGCCCTGTTTGAAGCTTCTTCCAGTTCTCAATGGGTCCCTGTATTTTTACCTTTTATTCGAATCCGGAGCAACCCAGCTTTCCACTGACGCTTAATCGCTGCATTCAAAAAGCGTGCTCTAATTCGAAATCCGCGCCCCAATTCGATGCATACAACGCGCGAATCAAGTACTTTTTGAAAATGACTGCACGCCTTTTACAGTAGAATTGGTTGCCTGAGGGGTATTCATGTCATCAAGCTTTCACTCTTAACACTATCAGGCTTTCAGAAGGCACTGTAAATAAACAGGCACCGAACTTGTTCAGAAGTGACAAGATTTTTGCAAAATGTGCTGAAATTGGTTATATGTCTTCAATTGTGGAACGAGGGATTGCTGTGGATTATTTCCTAAGTTTTAGCTGATCTTGATATTTTTCGAACTTTCTCAGTGTTCTGGACCCGTAAGGAATTGATTCATTTGCATATTTTTTTGTTGTAGCAACTCTTTTCGCGTCTCACTTGAGGAGCGTATTGCATTTTATCATAAACTCTACAGTAAACTATGATGTTGTTCGTGATAGTAAGAGTGTGATATCATTCAATGTCTGCTGATTATCATGCGGTGTTTTTCATTTCTAGACAATTCTTCAACGTTGGAGGTTGCACTCGCAGTGAAAACGAATGGAACGCGAGGACGACATAAACGCTTTCATGGATCGAAGAAAGTCAGTTAGGTACGTGGTACGTGTGTTTCTGTTGCTGGACATAAAAACAGGTCACTTAACTTTCTCTGACCCAAAGGACAGCTCGCGAGCGACAGTGGTCCACGTAAGGTTACTGGCGGCTACTCGATTTTTTTGGAGAGTACAGAGGAAAGCGTCATATCCCCTCAAGCAACAAACTAAACAATCGCAGCTCCGCTAACACTTTGGATTGATACCACTCTGATCCAATCAGATTTGACTTCTTCACTTTAAAGACAGCGTCTGCGATTAACCAAGGTTCAGAAAAGCTTCATAGTACAAGATGGCGGAGCTTGTGGTCATATCCCTTCTTCGCGGCTCAAAAGAGTTCGATAAAAGCACGACAGCTCAGCGACGATAAGCCAACTCCTTCTATGAGGGCGGAGTCAACAAGTTCTCCACTTCGATCATTTTTTCATTACCAAGATTCTTAGCGATGATAGTTGCTAATCTTATCGAATATGTCTTGGAGACGAGTCGCATCAAGTGGCGATCAGATTCAGGAACTCACCCAAAGTTCGATTAAGTCTATCTTCAGTCCCGTACATGAGACCTTTTTAGGGCATTCAACGGGTTCTTTTGCTTTTTTCTTCTTTAGCATTGTACTTACAACATGACCCAATCAACCCAAGCTCTGAAACCTGTGAAACGCGATCGCGGGCGCAGTCTTTGAATTCAACTCTTTCCAAATTAAATTCAGTACAGTGTCATTTTTGTGCAAGACACTTAAACACAAAATTCTTCTTGAACAGTGTGCTCGGAGCTGACTTGTTTAACCACTTTATTGGCAAGCTTTCGGCATATTTATCCTTCGTCAGGCCTTAAATTACAATTTCAAACATATAATAGCATACAACGAGCAATGCCTTAAAACCTTACATACCAGGCCTTGAGAGGGACGGACCTATGGCGGCCGGTGTCAGGGCATAAGTGACCCGCACTATGACAATGAGAAAATGGGTGGCGGTGATTATGCGATGAGCCTCAGAAGGTCACTGTAGCTCCTCTTTCGCATTGATCTCTGGCTTGAGGGCGGTGTATTCCCGAGTTCCATTATTTTCCTCTGGAGGCGGCCGTACCAAATGGGCGATGCAACACACTCACATCGAAAGACGGAGCGGTCTCATTTGGGGTGTCTAAGCGTACGGTGCCTTGAGAAGCTACTTCGTGGGTCAGCTGCGGGTGTTCAACGCTCTTCTATGCTCGTCCAGACAGATTCCTCAAACGTCGCGCGGTCTCCCCGCCGTACGTTTTCTCCACAATTCTCTGCATTGAATGAGATAAACATTGACAACATTCTTCCTACAATTCAGTATATCAAAGGTTTTGAAGCAATGCCATAAAGTGCGCCATTCTCATAGTCAGATGGAAGTTGAACCAGTCTTGTTGGATTAAAATGCTTTCTCCATGTCTTGTGGCATGTCTGCTGAGAAGTGAGCAGTGGCTTGCTATCATTCGTGGCGCTGCTGAAGCAATCAACCCATTGAGGCTGCGTTTATACATCGAGTCAGTGTCACCAGCATTTCGCAGCACATGCTTGCGCCAGCGACTAGGGAAAGTATAGAATCGATTTTAGCGAATGCAAGCGTCCACCAGCGTCTGAGGGACCAGAGATGTATAAGTATCTAACGCCGGCAATTCACCAATGTGCAGGGGAACGCGGCGGAAATAGGGGTATAGCAGACAGTTGGATTAGTCGTCGTGGGTCTACGGAATACCGCAAACTATTCCTTAAACTATTCGCAAACGCGGTCGAACTTGTGTTTTCCTCTGCTCTCTCTCTCTCTATCTCTCTCTCTTCTCTCTCTCTTATCTCTCTGCTCTCTCCGCGGGGCACTCCTAGACATTGTGACTTCGTACATTCCAGCTTTTCACGTATGCTAGCGGTGTCTGCAACCGCACCGAATAGCTGCTAATGCAACAGAATCTGCAATTGATATACGATGTAGTACAGTTGTACGGTGCATTTGCACACGCCGCAATTTTGCGACGACTAATCCAGTGGTCTGCTATCCTCCTACTTCCCCATACTCTCCATTTCTCGACGCTGCTGTGCGCTGGTGGACGCTGGTAGGGGCTGGCATTCGCTAGATTGATATGTATGCTTTCCTAGTCGCTGACGGTGGCTCGAAATGCTGGTGAACGCTGACGGACGCTGGCGCAAAGATTGAGTACAGCCTAACTTTTGATCTTGATCGTCACAATGGCGACCCGAAAACCACGCTAGGTATCGCAGTTCCTAATACTTTTGACGACTGGTCAGATCGTCACGTTCTTTGTCGAAATTCATAGGGCACTGTCCGAAATTGTGGATTGATAATGACCAGTTCATCTTGATTCGTTGGCACATAGAATTTAGTTGGTAGTAGACGATGTTGACTTTTGAATGACGACAGTATGGTCAAAGCTTTTTCAGATTTTCTTCAGCTCATCAAGAATTTTTGTTTGAAAAGGATAAAACAATGACTAGTACAGCAGGAGAGTCGACAGGGCCCGTCGTTTCCGATGAGGTAGTGGCTCTTACATAAGCAGAAAACGTCATTTCGATGAAAGCTTCATACTGTTTCCGTTTCAGAATGTGCCTACCGGTCTGAGAAATCCCGCTGTCGACTCCACTGCATCTTCGAGAACGCAGTCCAAGCAAGGTCCGCTTAGTGCTTCAGGACAAGAAAACATAAGGGTATTAATTTTGGGATTCAATTCGAGACTTTTTCATATCTTGAAGTATGTCACGACCGTCATGGAACGGCTCTTTTGGAAACCATTGACATGTTCGATTCACTACGCCTTTGCCTTCTTGGGTTCACGAAGCAGTGTACTTGGAAATATGCAATTTCAACGGTTTCTGCGGTTTGATGGATGATCTACAGGTCGCAGTACTTAAGTGAGGCGAAAAGCAATAGTCAGTTTGCTTAACAGCTAACAGCATTCAATGCGTGGGGGAGGAGGAGAAATTGGAGGAGGGACTTTTGCGTGATACGAATCCGAGAAATTTCCTTCCAAACACGGTGGGGACAGATTCGATGAAGCAAGTAGCAGAATAATATTCCAGTTTTGTGGGTACGTTTAGTACCGACTTTCTTCGCGCACCTAAAATACATCACAGATATTCCCTTCGGATATTATTATGCCTTTTTTTGCAGCTCTCTATATCTCCGGGAACAAGAGCTACTACTGATAGGCGCGAAGCCAAATTGCGAAAGTTACAGGGAATGCAACAGCAAAGAGAAAATATCAAAGGTTTCCATCATTTTGTAGTTGTGTTTCATAGTAGTCTTAGAAGTTCTCGTTCGTTTATAGCTAGGAGAGCTGGTATTCCGCCAGTTCCACCTTCGATTGATCTCGCTGCTACTGAGCAGTCATTTTTGGAGTCAAGTTCTAGGGAGTGTGCGAAGTTGCCAAGTAGTCAGGTAACAGTTCCAACTATGAAGGTGCAGATTCATGAAATTGTACCATAGTTCGCTACCGAAGAAGGAGCGTGTCGGGCAGTATGAGTGGAAGTGCGGCGCACGGCTCCAAAACCCTTCTCTGCCATTTGCTGAAGTGGGTATGCTACAACAGTTGGTAGGAAGCGAGTGAGACGAACGAGATGGTACAGACTTGTCACTTGCTCGCTTCGACAACTGGTAGAGAACGAGCTTTGCAAAGCGCCGAACTTATTTCCCCCACGCTCCTTCCTCCGCAACGATCTAGACTATATAAGCAAAAAATATAACATTTCGGTTGGTATCTTTAGTTCGCTTACGCAGTTCCGGAGCCAAAGTTTTCCGACATTTCATCGATACAACCGAGTGATGCCACATTCCCTTCGAAAACGCCATGCAAGAGGTCAAAAAACGTTGGTAAGGGGATTTCTATTTCTGAAGTTTTAAAAATTCAACGAAGTGCGTTTTGGAACAGTCCATAAACTTCTGGTGCTCCATGCAAGATCGTTACCGTATTGTCTCAATCATTCACTGCACAGTGAAAGGGAATCATTCTCTAACTTAAGCAATCCTTGTTCAGTGTGCTCCACACCATTACGTTATATCTCTCCAGCAATGGGAGTTCCTGCCGCTATTGTGAAGTCTGCTGATAGCAGTGTTTCTATTTCAAAAGGAGGTTACCAGCCCGCAGCAGCAGTTAGCAGTATGATTAAAGAGGTGGTTGTTTTTCTTACGTTCTTTTCCGCTTTTCCATAAAGGTCCGTTTCAAGCCCCTGTGCAAGTATCTTCTACCACGCGCTTTGCCGGCTGATGCTGCACGCCTTCTTCTGAGATAAAGAATGGATTTGCTGAGTCGGGAGGCACTACTGATTCTTTTACTATCGCGTGAGGTAGTAACAGATTAACCCATTGCCTCAAGTCGGTACGAAACATGCGATTGTATTCGCGACTCTTGCTATGCGGTTGATTCCTTCCTCTATCACCTTATCGCTTTACTGAGACGCCTTTTACTTACCACACTTGTGATAGTTTCTACTAAACCGCACTTCTATGCTTCCGCCTCTCGTACTCTCCCTCACTAAGCCACACACCCACATTATACCTCCCGCACTCCCACTTGCCCACCCACTCCCATCCCGGCCGCCTGCACGGTGCTAACGTCCACTGCCACGCGAGCAGCTCGTGAAATGTCTGGGAGTGCACTAACATGTTCTCTTTATAATAGTGCAGGGGGTATCACAATTCAAAACATTGGATTGAGACCATCTGCACCAACTTGGTTTCGCCACCGGCTAGCGTCGTACACTCTCGTACGCTGACGTGTTTAAACCGCTGAAGCATTTCGTGACGGACAGACATACCTACATACATACATACCGGACAAACGACACACAGATTAGTGGTTTATAGAAATGTAAGGATTCTATAAAGCCGAAAACTTTGTGTGCGGTTTGGTCGGTTCTGATACATGCTAAGCTATGTGATGTTTGTCCGTCCAGCAAAATGCTTCACGGTTCGAGTTCGCATGGAGGCGAAAACGACCGCTAGGCAAACGGGCAATGCTCGGTGCGGAAGTAGCAATCCATGTTATGATTCGTGATAGTCGGCCTCCGCCCATATATAGACAACCATTCGGTGACGATCCGAGCATGCACCGAGCTGGCCTGGGCCGTGGCAGCTGGACGGTTCTCGCGCGGCGGGCAGGGTGGGGTGGGGCGAGAGAGGGGGGGGCTGGCACTGCCCCCCCCCCTCTGCTGTCCTTCCCCTGCGCGCAGTGCTCAGCCCGGATCTGAGCATGCGCAAGAGAAGCGAGCAGAGGGACGGTCCGCTTGGCAAAACTGCGGCGTTTTTTCAAGATACTGATATAGGTGTATTGGCACAGGGAACCCGTGGGTGGAAAAACCCCAAAGATTTGCGTGGCTGATAAAGGGACGTTAAGAGTTGAAAGCATAAGCAGACTCAGAACGCGGTACAGCCAGCATCAGTTAGGCGTTGGATTTCAAGTCAAATGGATATCAAGGGGACAGGTGTATGGAAGGCGGACGGCGGGTGAACAGGAAATGATAACTGATAGGGTCTGATACGAGACACGATGCCAGTTGTTGCTCCAGATCAACAGCTGACAGCCTTCGCCACGCCCCTAATTTGTAGTTTAGTTATAACGACATTATTCGACGGGTGACAAGCAATTTTAATCAATGTTGATAGGTAAAGATTAGGGGACATTCTCACGACATCTCTCGTCCATATACTGGCCAAAAAAAGCCTCAGGAAGAAAATCTTGCCCACACGCCCATTTCACTCCCTTGATAGCACAAAAATGTACTCAATCCGCACTATCCTTCTATTCTATAAAGCAGAAACTTTGTGTTGTCGGTTTGTCGGTCTGCTATGTATGTATGTATTTTTCCGTCCGCAAAAATCTTCCGGGTTCGAGTTCGCTGGAGCCGAAATACGACCGCGTAGGGCAACAGGCAACTTTCGGTGGCGGCAAGTATCAATCCCAATGTTTCGACGTGCATATCGCCCTCCGCTATATATAGACAGACCAATATCGGTGTGAGATCCGAACGCCATGCACGAGCTGCTGCGGGTGGGCAGCTGTGAGGTTGTCGTTACTGCGGGCAGGGTGGGGTGGGCGCGAGAGAGGGGGGACGGCCATCTAGGGCCCCCTACGATTCTGGCTCCTTAGACAGTCCTGCGGCGTGTCTCACTGCCTCGATCTGCAGCATGGGAAGAGAAGGAAGCAGAGGACGGTACGGACTGGAAAACTGGCGGCGTTTTTTCAAGATATGATCTAGTTATGGCGACAGGAACCGGTGCGGTGACAGATTGTTGGGCTGATAAGAGGGATTAGAGTGGAATGCACAACATATCATCAACGCGGTACACAGACATCAGTTCGCGATTGATCTTCAGGCATGCATCATCAAGGGGAAAGTGGAGACAGCGCGATCGCGGCGGTGCACAGGAAGATGATCACTGAATAGGGTCTTGAATAGCGGAGAACGATGCAGTTGGTGCTCCAGTCAACAAGCTGAAGCCTCTTCGCCACGACCAATTATGGGTTTTAGATTATAACCACAATTGATCACGGGTGCAAGGGACAATCTTTATCAGATTTGATAGGTAAAGATTAGGGGGACATTTCTCACGACATCTCTGTCCATATACTGCCAAAAAAAGCCTCTCAGTAAGCCAAAGATTTCGTCCCAACAGCCGATCACTCCTTATGATAGGCACTAAAAAATAGTACCTCATCGCCCAGCTAGGGGGGAGTATATACTTCGCGGCGTGAAACAGGACAGGTTTGGAAAAAATACAAAAACATTCACATATTGGAGCCACTGTTAATGCGTTCAGTGAGTATTTAACGCTTCATTTTTTGCTTTTCATCTATTTAATCACTGATGAGGAACGAATACAGAAGAATAGTTTCGTGAGATATGTTTTGAGTCTAGCCTGACATGTTACTGGAGGGTGCAGATTTTCGCTTAGGTAACTCTGGTCTGTTTATGATTCCCGGGAGACACTACTGCGGCAATTTGAGCAATCATCAGCAATTCACCAATTCCATCCCGTTAGGGGGGGGATGCGCGCTGCGGGGCGGAAGCCTGCCAGCTCGGACGAAGCCGAGCTACAAGAAGGAGAGAGCTCCGGCGTCAGCCGGCGATCCGACCTGGTCTGAATATGAATCCATTCCGTACTTTCGGTGAGCCATAGAATTGTGGCGCACCCGCCATCCGAAAGTGCGTAACGATGAAGCATAATATAATAGGTTTGTGTGCATAAGCAAAAGTAGTGCCGGTATCCTTTCATTTTATAAACCAGTAACTTTGTGTGTCGGTTTGTATGTATGATGTATGTAAGTATGTATGTCTGTCGGTCGGTAAAATGTTTCACGGTGTTCGAATTACTGGAGGGAAAAACGACGCTAGGCAAACGGTAACTGATTGGTAACGGATGTACAACCCAATGTTTTGATTGCGATAAACAGCCTCCACTATATAAGACAACCATTCGCGTACACTCCAGCCATTGCACGAGCTGCCTGGCGTGGCAGCTGACGTGGGCGCGTCGGCGGCAGGGTGGGGCGCCAGTCGCCCTGCCTCCTTTCCTGCATGTGGCTCAGCCGGAGCTGAGCACAAGTATTGAGGGGAGGCCAGCACGGAAGGGGTCGCCTGGAGGGGAGGGTCAGTGGGGGTCGTAGCGCGCGTTTCAGTAGAAAACGGCAACCAAGGATGACGGAAAACAAACTGCTAACAAATTGCAAACCTCTATGTTATCCGTAAACGAACTAAGAAGTTGTTTTGGTTCGTGATAACACTCTCCACTATATAAGAAAACCACTACAGTCCGAGCCATTTGCACGTAGTTGTTTCGCGTGGAGTTGGACATAAGCCGTGCAAGGGCAAGGTGGAGGGGGGGGGGGAGGGTGGAGTGGCGAGTACGGGAATGGTGTGAGGTGAGGAAGGTGGGTAGTATCGAGTGACCCCCTTCTCCCATCCTCACTCCCTTGCGTACTCAGTCGGATCTGAGCCCTGCAGGGAAGGAGGCATATGGACTGAATCGGGCAAAACTTGGGTACAGTAAGGGGATGCGTAGCGTACGCTTTGGATAGGAGCAGGCGGCAAGACAGAAGGAAAAGACCGCTAGCAATTAGAAACAAAGAAAAACAAATATTGAGGAAAGGAATACACTCAACATCACCGTAAACTGCAAGCCTAATCCAATGTGACGCACGAACTAGGCAAGCTGTTTGGATTGTTGAATCGCTCCCTGCCTATCTTAAGCAACAACACTGTTATAGAGTCTGTGGCTATTGCAGGAGCTGCTCGCTTGGCGCTTGGACGTGTAGACGAGCGCAAAGCAGTGGTAAGAACAGTGGCGGCGTAGTGTCCCTATGTTGCAGCCAGGGAAAGGGGGGGAGGGCATATGGACTGAATTCGGGCAAACTGGGTACAGTAAGGGGATGCGTATGCGTACGCTTGGATAGCGGCACGGCCGGCAAGACAGAAGGAAAGAACCGGCTACAATTAGAAACAAAGAAAAACAAATATTGAGGGAAAAGGAATACACTCCACATTACAGAAACTGCACAAGCTAATCCTATGTTCAGCAACGACTAGGAAGCTGTTTGGCATTGTGATCGCTCCCCTTCGGAAGCCAACCACTGGTATAGAGTCTGTAGCTATTGCAGGAGCTGCTCGCTTGGACTGGACGTGAACACGAGCAGGCAGTGGTAAGAACGAGTGGCGGCCCGTCAGTGTCCCTATGTTGCAGCCAGGGGAGGAGGCATATGGATTGAATCGGGCAAAACTGATACAGTAAGGGGATGCGTAGCGTAACCTTGGATAGGAAGCAGGCAGGATGACAGAGGAAAGAAACGCTACAAAACTGCAAGCAAATCCATGTTCACAACGAACCGCTAGGAAGCTTGTTTGGATGGATTAGCTTCCTATCTAAAGCCGAACCACTGTATAACGAGTCTGTGCTATTGCAGGAGCTGCCTCGCTTGGGAGCTGGACGTGAGCACGAAACAGGCGGTGGTAAGACAGTGGCGGCGTTAGTGTCCCTCTGTTGCACCCAGCTGCTCACGTAGCGGCCTGCATAGCCCGTGCGAGAGTGGGCGCACAGTTAACGTTAGGGGTCAGTGGAGATCTATGTGGGTGAGGGGATTGCAGATTGAGAACAACGCCGACACGATTTCGCAATGTGGAGGCACATAGCGCCTGCGGCGGATAGGCTCTACATTGCGTTACAGATGAGAAGAAATGCGATCGACCGCAATCGGAACTGAACCGATTAATATTGCATTATTAAATTGTGGTAGCGTTTTGATAGTCATAACAGCCCCCACAACATAACCCAACCATTTAGTGCACTCAGAACCATCACGGGCTATTCGCGTAGCAGCCGAGCGTGACCTGTAGAGTGGCTGATCGGGGAATAGCTGAGGTTAGTTTGGGGAGTAGGTGAGGTGGAGGGGTACCATATTGGCGCGACCGACGCTCGCCTGACCAGGAGCACGCAGCGACTGCGGACGAAGCATCCTTGGCTGTCAGAAGATGGGGTGGAGAGTAATCGATTATCCATGACCACATTTTGAACTTTTCATTATGAAAGTGCCCTGCGATCATATGGCGCTTTTCTACATTCATTTGATTAGAAGACAGCGTTAGTCACGACTCTAAAGCAGTTGCATGAGCCCGGCGAAGCCGGGCTTCCAAGAAGGAGGAGAGCTCGGCGTTAGCCGGGCGATCCGACTGGTATGAAGGTAAAGGATAAAGTGCTCGCTGTTTATCAGCCCCTTTACGGGAAACGGGCATTGTACTCTCATTAAGAATCGTAATGGCTTGCTGAATGCGTTGTGGCCTCTACAATCCTTCTGTTCTATAAAGCAGCAACTAGTGTCAATTTGTTGGTATAGATGTACGTTTGTATGTCTATCCGTCCGCAAAATGTCACGTTATTTGACACGTTGGGAGGAGAATACGGCCACAAAAACCGGATACCGGTTGGTGCAGATGTATCAATCCAATGTTTTGATTGTGATAGCCTCCGCTATATGAGACAACCATAGGATACACTCCGAATCATTACGAGCTGCTGTGGCAGCTGTGCGTGGGCTCGTGTAGCGGCAGGCTGGGATGGGGAGGGGGGCTACCAAGTGACCTCTCCTCTCTGCTTCCTTCCCCTGCAGCGCACGCTCGTGTAAGGGCACGCAGCAAAGGAGGATGATACAACCGCGCAACGAGCAGAACTGCAAATTAATTTAAATAAAGTTACAGACTATGATGTTGTTTCGATTGTGTTACCCTCACTAAGTAAGACAACCATTTAGTACACTCCGAGCCATTGACAAGCAGCTCGCGTGGCAGCTGTACGTGAGCTCCGCGTGGGTTGCTCCATCTATTACGATTCGATCAAAACAGCGCAGTATGAGCAGCTAAGTGAATGAAGAAGTTTCCTTTCCATTATGATGCGCGCTTCACGGAGTCAAGCCAGCTAAAGAGGAGCAGAGCTCGGCGTTAGCCGGGCGATCAGACTGGATAAAATGGCTGGTGGGGCAGCCGATGACCATATCTGTGTTGTTGTTGTCCTCCCAGACAAATTTGGTATCAATCCCGGGAGGCTAAAAGGCTTGCTTGGCTCTCCTCCGGCTTAACGGCACGCCGAAATCATAGAGGTGGCTGGAATCATAATACTTCATAATTTGGCTAACGTGTCTCATATTGGGTTGGCTAATAAGTAACGGCGGTTTTTTTCAATTGAAAAATTTGTTCCAAAAGTGAACTGTTCCGCAAGCAAGCTTAACATCGTTCAATAGCAAACTTCTCGTAGTATTACAATATCAGAACAGCATCGGTTGGAGGGAGAGTTTTTGTGGATTTTTCAGTCGTTGAAGTTGGAGGTGAAGACGCCGAAAATTAGCACCTTCGGAGCAACTGGCCTCTAGTTTAAGTTTTTAGCCCTTGAATGCTAAAATTCGCTTAAGCTCTGCCAAGACTGTTTTGGGAGAAAGCTCGATGGTGTACGGCTTGACCGAAGTCGTCAGGCAAGTGGGAATCTTCAATCGGGATGGACTTTGGAAGCTAATTTCGAGAATTCTCAAAGTTGTCAACACCTTGGCACCTCCGCCGATAGTGTGGGCAGGCTCACGTCTGTCTCCAGCCGCTGAAATTTTTCAATGCTATATGTTGAATATAAGTTGAATATGAGATGCTTTGAAATTGCTAAGTACTCAGCGGAGAAATTTCGCTTATTATAACGATAGTTAAGGCTGCTTGCAAACTTTTCAATCTTTAAAAACAAATTTTGGGTGCGATTGAACAGAATACGCTATCACTTATTAGTGCCAGGCGCCACTGCTAGTGGGGCCTGGCTATAACTGCGCAGTCGGGCTGAGGCTAAGTGAAGTAATGGCGGTTTTTTCAATTAGGAAAAATTTGTTCCAAAGTGGAAATATTTTTGGCAAGCAACGGCTAATATGGTTTAAGTAGCAAACTCTCGGGTACGTATTACGAAATATCAAATTCAAATTCATATTATTTCAACCTATTGGCTGAGAATTTCCTAAAGTAGAGTGGCAGTTGTCGAAGGTGCTAACTTGCGGCGACTTCACTTCCAACTTCAACGACTGAAAAATCCACAAAAACTCTCTCCCCCCAACCGAAGCTGTTTTGATATTGTAATGCTACGAGAAGTTTGCTATTAAACGATGTTAAGCTTGCTTGCGGAACAGTTCACTTTTGGAACAAATTTTTCATTTGAAAATAACCGCCATTACTTATTAGCCAACCCAATACCTATTAAGGGAGAAACTACGATTACTTTGTGCTACACTTTCAGATGGTGCTTTCTTGCGACGAAGATTACTTCATGACTCGGGAAGAGCGCTCAGAGCGTCATATGGACGCCATGTCTGTATGGTGCAACATGATCCTAAGGTCTCAATTCGAAGACGAAGAGTTTGAGATTGGAACTAGTAAACAAGGTGCTCCTCAATTCTTTGTCAGTGTACGTGCTCATGCTGTCAGCTGGGCTCGTTTTCTTTCATATTGGTTTTGCCCTCATTTTCAGAAGCTAATAAAGTCCTGCAAGATCTCCTCGCGAAATCGAATATTCGAAAGTCCAGCGCTACGATCAATAAGCCTTTCAAGTACTCAGACTTTTTGAAAAAGCAGAAAAGAGACAATACTCGTGAAAAGTGGGTTTCGTTAATACCCTGGAGAGTTTTTTATTATGTCAACCTTTTTGCTTCCTCCTTTTCTACCTTTCCAAAACATTCACTGATCATTCCATCATGAGAAGGTCTGCTGCAGAATGTCCAAACTCAGTGCAGAAAATGACGTTTACTGCTGTCATAGAACTAGAAATATGGATTGCTTCCCATTGATGAAAAGAAAATTCGCGGGCCATCTTCTCGGATCGGCTTGCCCACCGGATCGGCTGATTCACATACGACTGCGTAGTCGACAACGACGTGACCGACATGGTGGACGTTTTCGGTGACTGTTCTGCGAAGAAGAAATATGTACCGGCCCGAAGTAATCGATGTTACCAAAGTACTTGCGACGAGTTCATAGTTTGATACGTATTAATCCGACTCGAAAACGTCGGTTACATCGATTATGTCGCGCCAGCTATGGCGATTACGTCGTATCGATATGTATCTAATCTTCTGGGTGTAGTTGCCGATTGCGTCGGTTACGTCAAGAACGTCCATTAGACTGCTACATCGAAAATGTCGATGTCGGCGACGTAGTTGCTTAACGCAACCCTAGGCGCAGTTCGCTGGGTGTGCTGCAGTTGGTTGCGCGTCTGTTTTCAGTTTTGTCTCGCTTGCAAGAGGAGCATTGCCTAAACCATCTAGAGTGGTCTACCGCTGTGTGTGTGAAGAAGTAATCTTCATCTTTTACCTCTGATCAGCATTTCCATCGACAGGCTAGAGTCTCAACTAGCATATGGGGCCCCTCCCCCGTCATTCCGTCAATAGGAACGAGAAACCATGCAAAGTTTTTTTTTCCGAGTGAAGAGAGGACTCTTACATGCTAGTCGAAACTCCAGCCTCCCCATATGCGTTTTTTTTTCGAAAGTGGCTTCTTCGAAGTTGGCGGAGCTTGGAGTATTCCAAAATGTGAACATTTCGGAAAAGGATTGAAGTTTTGCGAAAATACGCTAAAGTGGGCGTGATTCAGGGGCGGGGCTCAGTTGTGGTGCATAAATGCGCGTCTGAGAGTACCTCAGTGATGTGAAAAGTGGATGTGAAGTTGACAATGTTGAAAAAAAATATGAAATTTCAATGTTTGCAACAAATTCTTCGAAAAGTGGATGGAGTCGGCTTTGAGCCGATGTACAGTCTTTTTCTGTCAAAGTGTATGTGCGAAACAACTAATGTCCAAGAAAAGTCATAAAAGCAGAAGTTATAAAATGAAATTCAATTTGTGTCCCCCCTGGAAAGTTGCCGTAGAAGTCGGGGCTAGGCTTGCGGACGTGTCTATGGCGATACCGTTGTTGATCTAATATGTAGTAAGAAGTGTGGTGAATTTTATTTGGAAAGTAATGGTTTTGGTTTGAAAATTGGTGAATTGGAAGTAAAATGCTATAAATGCACATCACACCCCAGAAAATAGGGTGTTGTACATCGTGAACAGGATATGAGTTTGTTGACCGTGAATCCGGCAATATTCTTATATCACCTGCTTTTCACGTCATGGCATGACTTCCAATTTTTCAGAGCAATTCGCCTGTTCAATTCTACAAATGTACCGGACCGTATTCGAGAAGCTGTGAGCTGCCGCCTGTTTTCTGTCCGTGCAGGCTGTAGCATCTACTCGGATTTGTGTACGTTTTGTAGTAATTTTGTTAGCGACAGCGAATTTATTTGGGTTTTCGTGCTATTCCCCTCTTTGAGGGCACCTAGCTTCGGTGGGTTGTCCTGGTTTTTTGGACGCTCTTGCTTTCAGTAGAAGGACCTGCTTACAAGAGAAAGGGCCGCACTAAGTGGCCGTTTGTAATGTGTACTGGAGCATCAGATGTCGGAGTCACGAAAGTTTTTCACAAAGGAGTCTTGAGGATTGGGCGTATCAAGGCCCGTCGCTGTCATGCTCGTGTCCAGGGACTACCATTTGGAGCAGATTTTCAACCGACTCCACAAAAAGTGTATGTGCACGGACCTCAGCCACAGGAAAGTGCTAAGGCCGTCACCTATGATTACCAGCCGGATAACGCAAGAAAAAGGTGTTAGCCGCCATTGAACATGCTCATTGTCCACGAGACCTAGAGGGTCAGATTCTCTATGATAGAAAAGTAACAAACCGCCGTGTTCCCTGGCCAGTACGACTGCTATCCCATTCGTTGTCCACGGTTCAGCTCTAGCGGCAGAAAATGAAAGCTTTCTGATTCACTCGATATTGAACAAGCTATGTGGTTTGGAAAATCGTAAAGAAGAACTCAAAACAGCGGCGTTTTGTGCCTACTCCCCATTCAGGGTAGAACACTTTGGGAATCGTAGGAAGGGGGCCATCACTGAAAAAGGCGTCAGTGAAGAAATAAGAATAGCACATCGACAGAACACACATGACTGACGATCCTCCCCTTCTATCGTCCTTATGAGGAATTATAATTCCTTGGTATCCATCATAAATTCCTTCGTTAATCCCTCATATCACTTTCTGCAACTGAATCCCATTATCATTACTGAATGTGTGAAATTGTCGCTATGAATTTCGTGAGCAACAGATAAACATATTCACAGAGAATCTGATTATATACAGTAGAAAGTAGTCAGAAAAAAATCCGTTTCTCTGCTCTTCTCTGGGAAAGGGGTCTGAGCAACTGCTGAAAGTTTTGGTCTATTTTCTGCCACTTGCGTGTTCTTTCATCTCGTTATTGTTTTGCATAAATTTTTTTACCGAAATGAAATGCAACAAAGCCTCATATTCTTCTCGACAGTTTTCGTTTTCAGCCCTCCAAACAACGCTTCTTCGCCTTTTCCTTTCATTTCATCCAGCATGGCTTCACCTTGGATTAGAAACTGGTATAGAACTGCATTCAAACCTAAGCCAGCGTTTTGAGCTGCTTCGTTCAGTGTTTAATACACCAATCAACATCGGCGAAGATGAAGTGTTTATCCAAGTTATCAGTCGATTCATTGTGCAGCGGTTGTTCGCAGATCCTAGAATTGTGAAGAACAAAAAGTATGCCTTCGGGAGTGGAAAGTACGTCTCATTATCCTGTTTTTCCATTTATGGCACGTTTTGCTACACTCCGTTTGTCTGCTTCGAGGTTTGAATACGTTATTTTCTTCTCCAGGGTAATTTTGACCGACAGCGGTCGAGAGGCGTTGAACTGCCATTTTTTGACTCACACTGCTTTGTTTTGTTATTTTGTTGAAACAGCCAAGGCTGCCTCGATCATCAAGCACAATCCTCGAATGTTCACGAGGAACTCTCCATTCAAAGTGATTAACATATTTTTGCAACATCCGATATTCGCTGTTTCATTATGAACTAGTCTAGTGCATGGATGACGTTTTTGCGGAATTGAGTCGAGAGGTGCTGTCCGGAGGAGGAGCTTCATTGAACAGAGCTTTCACTAAAATGGGTTTCAAGCCTACTTACAGGCAGGTGAGTTCTAACTCCTGTGTATGCAGCGGTTTCTAGTATCTATGTTATGCCGTAAAGCTAACCTTGTGACCTCTCGCAGTTCATGTGATGTAATTAGTAAGATCTTCGTTCTTTGCATCATTGGTCCATAACTAACCTATCCACACAAAATTCTCTAGTAAAGGTCCTGCGGGCAATACTCAAATGCATCACAACAGACTATTCGCTCTTTGACTATTCGCATTGACTCATACCGTAGGAGAACCAGTTCGTAGTTTAGCATCTACTCTAACGAGTGGTGGAGTCGCAGCTGGAAGTAAGGTTGACACCTTACGCGCGAGCAGGGGAGCGAGGAAGGTCAATTGACCATCATTCTAATTCTTATTCTTCGGCGTTTATCCCACTTTAGAGCAAAGTCTGCTGTTCTAATTTTGCTACACCATTTCTTCGGATTGAATTCCTGATTGGGGTGGCCGCCAACTATTTAAAACCTTCGCCTCGTACAGCGTGTCGAGCCAACGTTGCTTTGGGCGTTCTCTGCGGTGTGGACGCTAGAGACCAGTTCTTCATCTTTGCATGAAATGCGTGGTTAATACTATCGGAGCGATACCATGGAGCATCATTTAGCCTGTGGTGGACCCACGCACGAGTTCACCTTTGAGGTCAGACTACCATCGAACGGGTGGCGGACTTTAGCTGGAGTAGCATACGGTAAGATACTGTATGCCACCACAGAGCGCATATCCCGAGGCGCGCCTGCAGCATGACTCGCTTAATTGCTGCGCTGACTGCTGACCTCTCACTGGCTACTCAACGCGAATGATCGATTTGTTATTTAGCAAGGCTGAGTGTTAGGAAGGAAATTTCTCTTAGATGGCAGTAGATTTACAACGAACGATAAAATGCACTCTTCAACATTCGAAAAATTATATAGTTCTACAATGGTTTTTGATTAAATTATTATTAATTAAAATTATATGGTTTTTTGTAGAGGGGCGTCTTCCTGAAAAGAAATGGACAAAGGTGGAGGAGCTATCGATGGGTCTTTGGTTTCACGAGAACTGGGCGACAAAGGTGGAGGCGCTGTGCAGCAATCTGTGATTTCGTAAAGAAAACTGGGCGACAAAGGTGGAGGCGCTACAGAGGAATTTGTGCTTTCGTGAAGAGGAATGGGCGACAAGAGTGAAGGCACTGTGCAGGAATCTGTGATTTCCCGAGGAGGAATGGGTATTGTGATTGCATGCACGGTCCCGTAGTAAAAATCGTGGTAGTGAAGAGCCATAAGCAATTCTGGAGAAATGCCCTGAACTGGGGTAGATGTCAGGAAATATGCAGGTGCAAAGCCACAGCAGAAGATAGAGGATCGGAGCAAGTGGCGACGTCCAACAAGAACAGCGGACTCGGGGAGGGGGGGGGGCTAACGCTAGGGAGAAGAAGAAGAAGTTTTGGGACGGTACTGGTGTGAAGATGATGCATCAGCGGAGTAGCAATGTAGAAGCTATCCGTGTAGAGTGATTGGGCCGGCGATAGAGCAGCAGAAGCATGTAGAGAACAGGGTCGAGTAGAACCTGTGAGGAATGAGTTTATGGAAAAGTCATGAAAAGACGCGGTGTAGTAGGCGCCTGAAAGCATGCTCGTAACGACAAACACGCACGAGGTGTGTTATGACGAGTCATCGAGCTTTATAAACATATTTTCAGGTGACCTTAAATATGGAAGAAAGAATTAATGTAAGGATTTATTTGCCTTTGGAAGGTCATTCGATGTATATGAACACCTAAAAACAGAAACATTTAAAAATTTCAACACGTTTTTCTTCGATGCGAACATTTATCCTCAACCTAATATTCATAGAATTACGAAGTTACTGATTTTAACTTATCAAATCCGATTACAACGGATTCGAATCGATTCATCTCGTTACGTTGAGTAGCCGGTGAGAGGTCAACAGTTAGCGCTGCAATTAAGCGCGGTCATGCCGCAGGCGGGCCTCGGGATATGCGCTGGGTGGTGGCATACAGTATCTTACCGTATGCTACTCCAGCTAAAGGTGCTCACCCCCATCGAACACTAATTTCGATCAAAAATACTTGGAAGTTCTAGTACGTGTGTGCTCGATGCCGCAATCTCAATGAAATATCGTTTGAGTCGGTCGTCAAACACTGAGTTTTCATGAGTTCAAGCTGAGTTCGAGCTCTGCCTGGCTATCAGACCAAGATCACCTGTTGGATGGGTTGACACCTTGTTGCACCCCTAGTTCGCTTTTATTTTCACTGGCGAGCATCATCATCTGCGTAGAGATGTGTTCAAGGGCTCGGTTTCTAAAGATCTCGTGAGATGGCATCTGTGACGAGTACGAAAAGAAGTGGGGAGAGCGCAGAGCCTTGATGTGTCGTGACTGTGAAGGAAAACTCCGTCGAAGTGCCTGTTGTTGTTTATACGCGGCTCTTTGAGCTGGAATTCTGCACGCACCCACTCGGTAGTTTATTGGGTACCTTGTAACTCGCGCGGAACGCGATCGAATGCCTTCTATGAGCCAACGAAGGCTAGATGGACATGCTTCTACTTCTCACGCTTCCCGTTCAGCTAAAGACGCGCGGCATGTATAGCGTCGATGGTGCCACAGCCGGTCACGAAGCCGCACTTGTTGGTCAAGAGCTTTACGATTTAACGAATGCAATTCAATTAGTTCAACAATCCACGCGAATATGTTAGTGCAAATAACGGTAGGCAAATCGGACAGTGGTTGCAGTAGCCTGTAAGGCTGATCTCCTTGGAAATTGGAATCGTCGTGCTCCCTTATCAGTTTTTGAGTTCTTCTCAGCAAAGACCTAACTAGAGAAATTCGTCAACCACTCTGTGAAATACGATCATTGTGTTTTCCAGAGGTTCGCTGCCACGACGTCAGGTCCTGTTGCTTAGCCTGACTTTGTCTTTTCGAGCGCCGCTTCCGTCTTTTTTACGGTTATCTTCTGAACGGGGGAAGGGAAGAGATTCTCGTGTAAGTATACCACGTTGGAATGCCCTCAAAGTAGTGCCATCGCCTCACCCTCTTTCTATCCATAGAAAGACGGTCACACCTGTTGTTGACGCCAGGGAACTTTTCTTATCTTCAGCCTGGCAATGGCGAGCCTTGGCAAGTCGCTAAAGGTGTCGTTCCCCATCATGTCACTTCAGTCCCCTACTGACGTCTTTTAAATGGGCGGCTGTCTCAGCGGCCACATCTTTCTTAGCTGCACACTTCGCTTCTTTGTAGTTCCGCCACTTTTCAGCCGACTTGTGCTCGAGAATGGCGGGGCCTCTTCTGATCGCGAGTCGTTACTTTGACACTGTCTGTCCGCAAACACGGCTGCTTATTATTCTACGCCTTCCAGGATTCGTAATGCCAAGTCCCGAGCGAGCGGTCTCATGTATCCTTGGGAGCCTTTTTCCTGGTGTCGTCGAAAGTTTGAAAGTCATGACGGCTGGTACCCGAATACAGGGAATCACAGCTGAGTCAGCTTGAAAGGAAATGATTCCCAGCCAGCCAGCTGGGAATCATTTCCTTTCAAACGCCACCACATAATTCTCTCGAGACCACATCGCTGGACCTGTTTCCACGTAGGCGTTGCGAACTTAAACGTACAGATCAATGGGCGACGTTACGTTTCAACTGCTTCGTACAGTACAGACTTCGACTATGACGAGCGCATGTTAGTGATGTCTAACAAGAACAAAGTCTACCAGATTATGAACTCCTGCATACTCGAGGATCCACTCGCTACGGGCGTTATGAGGCCCACACACGAAACCTCTATGACAGCTACATATGTGTCCTCTCCAGCGCCTGCGTGCTCATTCAAGCCACCAAAGACAAGACGATGTCTTGCTGTCGGTGTCTCATCTGCGCTCTCCTCGTTAGGGCTCGTCCTTGGATCGCATCGTTAGAGGAGCATGCGCAGAGGAGGAACAGTACAGTGGTTGACTCACAAGGGAAGGATGGCAGGTCGAAGTGGACATTCCAAATGAGATGTATATCTACTGAAGGGTCTTTGGAGGGATTACGAAACCGTCTCCGATATTTGCTGCGGATCTCCCAGAACAAAAATACGGAGCTTTTTAGGAGGAGCATGGTACGAATTAGCGGCATAGAGCCTTTTCGCTCGAAGCAGCGTGGCCGAGGGGGTACGTTACAGGTCGGACGTCCGAGGTTTGAATCCTTGGTGCGTTTTGTGTTGTGTTTTTTTTTCCTACAATGGTCTCTCTTCACTCGAAAGCATTTTTGCATAACTTTTGTGCCTGAGAATGTCGTCAAAGAGTGTTTCTGAACTAATGGAGCCATTGTGGACCAACTCCATGCAGAACATTCTTGGCTGTTGAATTTGTCACACGAAACGAAGACTTCCAGCAGGTGCAAAAGCACCACTTTGCAATAAAACATCTTTCAACATTATGTGAGTGGTGAATGAAGGTTTCTACCATGATGATCTGCGCGAGATTGTCACGTCAAAGCCACGTCGTGGGAAGACTTTCCAAGGATACTTATCTTTGCGCACAACTTCGTGTGGTTTCAGGTCCAGCCATGTCGTTCGGAAAATAAATCCTTCTTCAAGGCAAGCACTTCGTTGTAGTGCATATCTTTTGTACAAAAATAGGCTCCTTGAAGCAATAAAGAAGAAATCAACAGCCAAGAATGGGCACTATTTACCCTTCGCTGCCCCAATCATCGAAAATCTGTCCAGTTTTTGACCGACTGTTTTTCGTGCGCTGAGTTGGCTAAACATTTGTCCCTGAGGTAGTGTGAACTCCTAAATACGTATATCACATCTGCTCGACCCGAAACCTTCTGGAGCTCGCGTCACAGGCGTCGGCGCCAAAATACTCCAAATCACCGGCGCCTAAGGCGCGGGCGCCAGGACGTTTT